AATGAAGACATGAGTGACTCGAGTGATGACACCATTGATGACAACTGCAGTGATATCTCGTATAAACCCGAAGACATTAATGAGGGAAAAGTGGTTCAAAAGACCAAACGATTGAATACCCGATCAGTTGTGTCGAAGTCTATGACATGTAATGAGACATCGGATCAAATGAATGGCAAAAATGTTTTAAAGAGATTTGTTTGTGAAGACAATAATTGTGGCAAAAGTTATATAACTGGAGAAGGTTTTAAAAAACATATGGAAAGCCATGGAATCACTCTTAAGGGTCCGATTAAATGTTCGCTTTTTGAATGTGGGATCACATCGAGTGATAGTAAAGAACTCATTGAACACATGGAAAGGGATCACAAAATTGATAACATATTTGAATGCAGTTATGAATCTTGTAGTCAACCCCTGTTTGCCACGGAATGGGAACTCGAATATCACGTGAATTCAATGCATTTAAAAGTATGGAAATGTCAATCAAGTGGTTGTGGCAAACAGTTTAAGGAATTAAAGGCTCTTAAGACACACGGGAACCGATACCACGGAGGGAAGTGTTTTACATGTAATGTCGAGGGATGCGATTACATGACTAATAATCCATCGCATATGAGGTCTCATATGCCTCGACATATCCACGGCTTATCTTTCCAATGCACTCATGAGTCATGTGGTAAACGATACAAAAGCAGTTCAGCCCTCAAGGAACACATGAAAATCGGTCACACAATTGAGAGACCATTTGTTTGCGATCACAAAGACTGCGGCAAACGGTACGCAACGAACACCCAATTAACGGGTCACAAGAATTTTAGACACCGGAAAGTAGGCGTCAATTATTTTAAATGTCCCGAAAAGGGCTGTAGGTTTTGGGGTAGAAGCCAACAGTCATTAGACTCGCACTTAAGTACACACAATGAGGTGCGGGTGTATCGGTGCGAATGGCCCGGTTGTGACTACACGGCCACTAATTATGGGGCCCTTAACAGCCATCGACAGAATAATCACTCGGCTGTGGGCGTGTATGCGTGCGATTGGCCCGGATGTGAGTATAAGACAAGTCTTAAGCGAAACCTCTGTCGCCATAAACTCAATCATATTGAATACAAATACGTATGCGAATGGCCCGGTTGTGCACAACGGTGTAAAACCACACAATCATTGAATAAGCATTTGATGATACATTCGGGGGACAAACCGTTTGCGTGTGAGTACGAGGGCTGTGGGTATCGGAGCACTCATAAGGGGAACGTCGCCACCCATATGTTAGTCCATTTGAATGCTATGGGAAAGGCTGTGAAGTTGTCGTGTCATTGGCCTGAATGCGGGAAACAGTTTATACGGAAAATGGATTTGAAAACTCATTTAAAGAGACATTCGTCGAAAAGTCATTCAAATGTGCGGTCATTGGCTATGGATTCGCCACAACACTCAAAAGTGTAAAAGTATTTGAATATTGACCGCAATTACTGTAGATATGCAGTCAATTGAATGTTTTATAGTCAGTGATTAATACTTAAGTTATGTAAAGAGTTATAAATAATTTATTTATGTTTTATATAATAACTTGTAATAAAAATTTTAATTAATTAAAATTAAACACTTTGTTAATTCAATTCAATTTAATGTATGAAAAGTTTTGAAGTTTTTGTATTTTTGGGACATTTTCTATGGATTGTGTGATTGAGAGACCATTTGTTTACAAAACTGTTAACACTTTTCAATTGAAAGTTGTTTTCATTTTAATTGCAATTAAAAGAAGTTTTTGTTTAGAAATGAAAACAATGTGTGAAATACTGGTCAATGATTTGGTGGAAGAGTTGAGTGAAGAAAATAAGAGACTTTTAAATGAGTTATCATTTGAGAGACAATTGAATGAAATGTTAGAAAATTTGCGAAAATATTCATTGGATTTGAAAACCAATTGTTTTTGTGATATGTTTTTGTGATCAAAATAAACAGACTTTTGATTTGTTGGATCAGTTGGACACCCGTTACAAGACATTCACTCAACGCATACAAAGTCAGAAAACAATGGATGAGAGATCATTGTCTCCTAAGAGTCATAGCATTGGATGCGATAGACTGATGAAAACAACTGAAGACAAAACTGAAAAGACATCCAATAATAAGGAAGTGATTGGAAACCAAAGGCAAAGAACCTCTCAATTGATTCTCCCATTAGTTGTGTTGAAGTCTATGGCATGTAATCCACAGTTGAATGAATTGAATGATAAAAACGGATTCATATCTCTTGTGGTGTATAACTGTCAGCACAAAGACTGTGACAAAGGGTTTATGAGTAAAGACTCGTTGGATATCCACTCGAAGACACATTCCTCCGAAGCGAACAAAACACTTGCGACTATTGAGACAAATGATGATAAAAATGTGAATACAATTAAAGACAAGAATATTAATAACAAAACAATAATCACTTCAAAGAGTAACCAATTATTAGTTAAAAATAATTTAGTTTTAAACAAAACAAGTGTTTCATCGAAAAGACTACTAATTGTGTCGAAGACTACAAGTGGTCCGCAAATTAAGACACTCCAGACATATGGCTGTCCGACCATTGGCTGTTGGAAACGGTTTACAACTAAAGATAATTTAGACATTCATTTGAAAAGTCATTCAAATATTAATATCAAATGTTTGGTCACTGAATGTGAGCTCACTTTCAATGATAAGAAAGTGTTGTTTAATCACATGAAGAGTGTCCACAATATTGACAACATTTATGAATGCAGTTATGAATCGTGTCATCAATTGTTCACTTCTGGAGATGACATGAAATCNGTGGTGGTTAAGTCTACTAATAATACAGTTATGAAAACTGTTCCGATGTCTAAATGTCAGTTCAAAAGTTGTGGAAATTGGTACTTAACTAAAGATCTTTTAGACGCTCACTACACGAGAAGCCATTCCTCTGAAGCGAGCAATAGTCAGGCGATGAGTGATAAACAACTGGATTTGAATGAAACGATTGATTCATCGAAAACTGATTGTCAGTACAAATGTCTGTTCAAATGCAGTGACATATCCCGTGATAAACGCGGTCTCTATGAACACATGAAAAGCGTTCATAGCGTTGAAGAACTCATTGAATGCAATGATAACTCATGTAATGAGATATTTTTCTTATGGAATATGTACCGGGAACATTTCTACGATAAACATGTGGACAAACTATCCAACGATAACTCACTTAAATGTCCTGTCATTGGCTGTGGAAAAGTTTTGGGATCACTATATAGTTTTAGGAAACATCGATTCACTCATTTGCCGGACAATCCAATCAAATGTGTGGTCAATGGATGTGACTATTCGTGTCTATTTGAGTCCCGAATGAAGGAGCATATGGTTAAACACAATGGCGTCAAACCCTATGAATGCACTCACGAGTCGTGTGGTAAACGCTATTTCGATAAATGGAGACTTAATTCACACGTCAAGAGTGTTCACGCATTACACAAGCGATTTGTTTGCCGGTATCGCGACTGTAATAAACGGTTCAAAACTAGGGCCCATTTAGTATCCCATAAAACAAGTCATGTAATTGTTGGCAAACCATTCAAATGTGAGGAACCGGGATGTGGTCGGGCCTTCAAATGCTATAATAGTCTTCGCAGTCACAGAGTTAGCCATTCGGGTCGTGTGTTTGCGTGTCATTGGCCCGGATGTGACTATACATCCAATAATCCGGGTTGTGTGACCGGACACGCGAGAGGTCATAAGAGTGAGGAGTACCGGTGCGAATGGCCCGGCTGTGAGTTTAAGACCAAATGGATAGAAAGCATTAGATCTCATAAATCCATCCACAGCACAGCCCTACTGCACGCCTGTGTTTGGCCTGAATGTGGCAAACGGTTTAAGACTAGAAATAGTCTGACACAACATATGATTTCACACTCGGGAGCACCCATTCCTTGCGATTGGAAGGGCTGTCAGTTTAGTACTAAACACAGACAGGCCTTAAGAGAGCATAAGAAACGAATCCATGGACTCACTGAGTGATAGATTTAGTGTTCATAACTTTATAAACTTATTTCATAACTATTAAAATATATTTTAAGACTAAATGTATGGTCACTAAACACATGATAGTACACACTGGAGCTATGATTAGCTGCCAGTGCAAGGACTGTCCCTTTCAGACCAAACATAGGGCTGCCATGAAAACACACTTACGAGGAGTCCATCAAATTATGGACTTAATATAATTTATTTAAAACAAAAATATTGTCAAAAATAATATTTATTGTCTGATATTGTAATCCGTTTTATAAAACTGAATATAAAAATCGGAATAAAAGTTTAAAACTTATGAAAAATTTGTTTTATAAGACGTTTTCTATAGGATTACCACTCAATAGGAGTTTTGTTTTGGTTTTCAAAACAAATTATTTTTTTGTGAATTAAATGTAAAAACAATTGAATTAAAAGTGATTTTGAATTGAATTTAAGATCAGATTAGTTGTGAAAATGTGTGAAATACTGATCAATGATCTGTTGGATGAGTTGAGTGAAGAAAATAAGAGACTTTTAAATGAGTTATCATTTGAGAGACAATTGAATGAAATGTTAGAAAATTTGCGAAAATATTCATTGGATTTATAATTATAATGAACTAATATTATATGAAACATGTACTGCAAAGTAAAAGCTTAATAAATGAAATACAAATTACTGTAAACACAGGCACACATACTGTAGTCTAAATAAAAGTTTAAATACGCTAAGTGTTGATTATCAAGCATATCATTTTTAAATACTTTATTTATTGAATCATATAATAATTTTTATTTGTAAACTTTACATGAACAATTAACATGTTTAGAAATTTATTTATTTTTCATTATATCAGGATAATCATGAAGTATACGATTCTTAAGATTTTTGTACACTTTATACTTGGCCTCTGCTTTTTGCTATGAAATCAAACAAATAAATGAGTTAAACGTATATAAAATCAAAAGTAAATTCAGAGCTTAAAAACTATTCACCAAATACTCCGGGTTTTCATCGATTCCTATCTTTAGGGACCAAAAGACAATTTTACACAACGAGACCAAAGCAAACACTTTCGCCTCCATTACCAGTGTTTCGCGTGAATTCACTACACGTTTAGTATAGGAATCGCCCGAAAGTGCACTCATTTCCGAGATGTAGGCGTCGATAAAGGCGTACATCTGTTGATCGGTCGGGAAGTGATTGCCACCGAAATCCAGTTCCGGTTGACACCAGTCGATGAAATAGTCAGCAAAGTCTGCGCCCCTAAACATATAACAACTCCAGTCGTAGTCCACTATAAAGACGTCCAAATCGTCGGCATTTGTATGACACGTATTGCGGACTAATATATTGCGACGCATGAGATCGTTGTGCGTGAAGACTACCGGCCCTCCCAAACCCACCGACACCTCCATAGCCCACGACATCTCATCGCATAAATCCATTTCCATAAATGTCTGCAATTTGTGTCTTTGGATCTCCTCATAGATGTGTCCCTTTTTGTAGGACTCGAATACCGGCGCCGCAAACAAATCCCAATAGTTTTTCATAAGGAACTGGTGGCTGTCCTTAGCTATGGGTACGTCTAATGAATGCATTTTTGCCATCTTTTTGGCAAACAGTGCCACACATCTAGGGTTCAGGTCATCCTCAGCAGTGAAGTAATGGCACTGTTTTTTGGGTTACATTTGATTAGAGATAATATTTTTAAATAAATTGTTTATTTACGTCAATATATTCAGTGATGAATCCATTCCCAAATATGCCCAATATTTTTGGTGATATATCTGCTTGCGATGCAAATATATTTGCCACCAATTCGTGTGTCTTATCTAAAAATCTACTAGCACAGTCCACGTTAAATCTGATAAACACTTTATCATGACCGGTTTGCGCACTTTGCGGCAAACTGCAGCAATATGATTTGTTTATTATACCGCCCCTGGTAAACAAAATTAATTGTACATGACTCAATTACTCAAAACATTGTAATTTAAAAAATATATGACAACACTAGTAAACACTTACGTGACGCGTTTGATGACCAGTTGGTCGGCACTAACATCACTCCAATGGCCGCCTAAATGTGTTTTACATAATTCATACACTTTTAGCCGATCCTCAACAGAGGCCCTACTTTCAGAGTGAAGTGATTCTCTGTTCAAATTCTTAAGCATTTCTGACATTGTGCTTGCTTAGACTACTTTAGTTTGTTTTACATTTGAGTCCTACAATTTGAATACACTGTACTGCTTAAATAAAGCAAATAACTATAAATTAAATTTTATATTTAACTTTGCAAAAACTTTGACTGCCAGTACAAAATAAAACAGAATTGACATATTTTTCTGTTTATATATTTGTATGTGATGAAGTTTGTTTTTTGAGATTGCATAAAACACATGTGTGCAATTGTAATAGGATTCAATTGTCCAGTTGTTTCCAATGGAGACTGTGATAACAAAACACATGAAAACTCATAACCAGTAGATGTGCTCCCATTTGAGGTCTCATAGGTTAGGAGTGTCTGTCAAGTACTCGTAGATCTCTGGTTTACATCAAGTCTTGAGTGAAATAAATAATTATTTGTAATTCATTTTATTTATAATATACATGAAATTTTAATTAAATAAATTCAATCACATTTGGTTTTGTAATTAAAAACTTTATGCAGTTTTAAAGTTTTGTTTGTTTTGAGACATACTTTGTGTTCAAAAACCGGCGATTTGTTTACAAAACATTTGAACAGAAAATTGATTTTGAATTCAGTTTTGTTTGCATTTAATAATAGTTTTGATTAATATTTTAATGGATTTATGAAAACAATGTCTGAAATACTGATCAATGATTTGGTGGAAGAGTTGAGTGAAGAAAATAATAGACTTTTATATGTAATACAAATTGAGAGACAATTTGTGTGTATTTTGGATAACATTAGAAACAATGCATTAGTTTT